AAAGCAAAACAGAACTAGAAGTAATCATGGAATGGTTTGGGTTGGAAGGGACATTCAGGTTCATCTCATTCCAATACCCTGCTATGAGCAGGGACACCTTCCACTAGACCAGGGACACCTTTCATTAGACCACATTCAAAGGAGGGGGAAAAAAAAATCTCCCATGTGTTTTCTGTTCATGGAAGTCAAACAGGTTGTCTGTCAGCCCCCTGCCCTGTCCTTCTGGTGTGCCTGTGGTTTCCCTGCTCCCCTAACCACCACCTGTGCCCTTCCTCCCCAGTTTGTTCACAAGGCACTGGCCCACGAGCTGCTGAGCCCGCAGGGAGGCCCCAGCTGTGGGTATTACCTGGCACTGGCTCGGACATACCTGCTGCAGGAGGATCTCCCCAGATGTGAGCAGTGTCTGCAGGAGGCCGTTCGGATTGACTGCACGGTAATGCCACGTGTGTCCCTGGGGGGCTGCAGCAGGACCCCACCCAAACACTGCAGCAACCTGTGCTGCTGTGTGTGTGAACCCAGAGCTTCGTTTCCACTTTACAATTCAATGTTAGTCCACAACAGTTTCAGCAGGGAGGGCAGTCACACCAGGCTGTGGTTGCAGCCCTGCCCTCCCTGTTATCCTATTCATTCCTGGCCTCCTGTCACCTCCTGCACAGACAGGTGGCATCTCTGAGCCTGTCTCTGCCTTTCCCTCTCCAGTATCTGCCTTTCTTTTCCCTTTGGATGGGTATATCCTGATCTCATTTCTCTTGGTGCATGAGCCAGGCTCTGTTTTGTGAGAAACAAGGTTGCTATTCAGCAGAGAGGGAAGGTGCCTCTGGGGAGGCAGGTTCAACAGAAGGAGGGAGGAAGGTGACACCTCGGAATGCTCTGTGACTGCTGACTGTACCTGGGAGCCTTGTGCAGGCCAGGACACTGGGCAGGGAGCTGGAGGGGGGATCCCATGGCTGGTGTCCTGCAGGCAGCCCACCACCTTCAACTCTGTGTGTAAAACCTGCCCTGCTATCATAGAATCATGGAATTGTTTAGGTTGGAAAAGCCCTCTAAGATCATTGATCCCCCAGCACTGCCATGTTCACAACTAAACCATGTCCCCAAGTGCCACATCCACATGGCTTTTAAATCTCCCCAGGGATGGGGACTCCATCTCTGCCCTGGGCAGCTGTGTCAGGGCTGGAGAGCCCTTTCAGTGAAGAAATTTTCCCAATATCCAATGTGGTGCAATTTGAGACCGTTTCCTTTTGTCCTGTCCCTTGTTCCCTGGGAGCAGAGCCCAACATCCCCCAGCTCCCCCCTCCTGTCAGGGGGTTGCAGAGCCAGAAGGTCCCCCCTGAGCCTCCTTTTCTCCAGGCTGAGCCCCCCCAGCTCCCTCAGCTGCTCCTGCTGCTCCAGCCCCTTCCCCAGCTCCGTTCCCTTCCCTGGACACACTCCAGCCCCTCAATATCTCTCTTATTGTGAGGGGCCCAAAACTGCCCCCGGGGCTGGAGGTGCCTCGGCGGTGCCAGCACAGGGGGAATTCACTGCTCTGCTCCTGCTGGTACAGCCCAGGGGCCATTGGCCTTCTTGCCCACCTGGGCACCCCTGGGCTCATGTTCAGCTGCTGCCAACTGGCACCTCTAGGTTCTTTCCCTCTCTCCCCTGGAGAGCCTGGAGTGCTGCAGGGGGTTGTTGTGATAATATAATTAAACACTGCTCAGCTTCTCCTTTCTGCTGCTTACAGGTGTCCCAGCCCTCCTCCCAGGTGTTTCTTTTTCCTGTCTCCCACCCATGTCTCACTCCTGGTTTTGTGTGCACAGAACCCAAATGTCTGGGCTCAGAAAGGACACCTGTGGTACCTGAAGGGGGACTGTGGCCAGGCAAAGGAGTGCTATGAGCGAGTGGTCAGTTTTGTGGAGGATGCTGTGGACATGCACTTTGTCTACCTGCGCCTGGGCTCCATCTACCTGGAAGAGAAAGAGGTGAGGAGCCAGCAGGAGTGGTGGAGGGGAAGTTACCACAAAGCAAGTTGCTCCCCCAGCAGCTGTGGGGAGAGTGGGTATCTGAGTCCCACTGGAGATGGGGTGTTTGGCAAATCCCTGAGGAGGGGGGGCTGCCTGTGATGTGCTGATGCAGAAGCATGGCTCTCTCTCCCCTGGCAGTATGGCCGGGCCAAGCAGATCTACCTGCTCGCCTGTGACAACTCTGCATCCTGTCTCACATGGCTGGGGGTGGGGATCGCCTGCTACAGGGTAAGTGCCACTGCCTTCATGTCATCCGTGCTTTAATCAGTGCCATGGCATGGGACACAGGGCTGGCTTTTGCATGATCCCCTTGATTTAAGTAAAGCTTGGCTGCCTGTGACCCGTGGCTCCACAGGCCATCATGTCCTGTGCACTGTCACAGTCCTACTGTGGCACCCAGGCTGCTCAGATGGGCTGTGTCACTGCTCAGCACCTGCTCTGGGAGCAGCCAGCCTTCCCCCTCATCTCAGCTCCAGCCAGAACCTCCTTCCCCAGGGTGGCATGGCAAGCAGTCTGGGCTCTGCTCCCAGTGCCTGCCTGCACATGACCTGCATGTCACCACCAAGGAACTGAGTGGGATGTCAGTAGGAAGGAATTTCAGTGCTTTCCCAAGGGAATCCAGCACATCTGAGGGGCTGCCAAGGACACCCAGCCACCAGCAGCATGGTATGTCCCCAAGGAACACCTCACCAGGTTCCTCCAAGGGAGTTTGGCCAAGGGAAGCAACCAGGGAAGGAACTTGAACTTCTGTTTCCCCCTTGGCCAAATGTGCAATTCCCGAGGGGCTGTGGAATCAGGCCAGGGAAGTGCAGCCCACCAGGCACGAGCTACCCCTGCCTGCCTGGACCTGCTGCACAGCAGGAATAGGGAGCAGGAGCACAGCCATGTTTCCTCGTGGAGCTGGATCACTCAGCTTCTGGAGGTGAAGGTGTTTATGCTGCTTTCCTTACAGCTGGAGGCTGATTTGAAAATAGTGTGTGATCCCATGGGGGTCAGCAGTGGGAAGTTTGTTCTCCAGACTGGAGATCTGGATGCTGGCACTGAGGATAACTACTTGTCTCTGTCCTAAATCCTTTCCCTGCCTCCCTGTCAGGGGAACCCTGCTAGGAGCTTTTGATGCACTGATTTCCTCTGCTGTTAGAGCAATGGCTGTTCACTTCTGAAGTCCCTTCTGCTTGCTCTTTGCCTTTTGTCCATGCCTCTCCTTGTCTCCCTCAAGCTGGGAGAGCTGGTGGAAGCAGAAGATGCTCTCTCTGAAGCCAATGCCCTAAATAACACCAATGCTGAAGTGTGGGGATATCTTGCCCTCATCTGTCTGCGAGTGAGTGCCCAGCCCTGGCCAGCCCAATGGGCAGGGGGGTTTTCAGGGGTTTATTGGGGGGCTTATTGGTATCTGCTCACAAACCTGAAGATTATGGTGTAGAGCTCAGTGGTAAAAAGTCTGGGGGAAGTGCTTGGGGAAAGCAAAGTGTTCAGATGGCAAAGGCAGAGCCCTTCCTTGCTTCCTGTCATCCCCTGGGGCATGTCCTCCCTGCTGAGCTTCTTACAAATGTCCCTTCTTTGAGATCTTGTGCCTTTCCTGGGGAAGGGGCACTGCCGAGGCACCTCCAGTCCTGGGGGCAGTTCTGGGCCCCTCAGGGTGGAGCCGGGGGAGGTCGGGCTCTGCTCCCGGGGAACAAGGGACAGGACCAGAGGGAATGGCCTCAAATTGTGTGGAGGTTTAGATTGGATATTGGGGAAATTTCTTCCCTGAAAGGGTGGGGAAAGGCCCTGGCACAGCTGCCCAGGGCTGTGGTGGGTCACCATCCCTGCAGGGATTTAAAAGCCGTGTGGATGTGGCACTTGGGGACACGGGTTAGCGGTGGCCTTGGCACTGCTGGGGGAATGGTTGGATTTGATGGTCTTAAAGATCTTTTCCTTCCTAAACGATGCTACGATTTCCTCCCTGGCGGCTCTGTCGCTGTCGCAGGGCGGGCGGGAGCTGGAGGCAGAGCAGTGCTACAAATACACCGTCAAGGTTCGTGTCTGTACCCCCGCAGGGACCGCCCGCCCTGTTCCCTCCACAGCTGGAGGCGCGGCTGGAGCACGGGAAGCCCCGTGTCCCGTCGGTGTCCGAGCCGGGCTGAGGCCCCGCACAGCCGTGTGTGTGCCGGGGGTCCCGGCGGTCGGTGGAGCCCGGCCCCGACCGCCCTCCCCTTCCCCGCAGCTGGGCCTGCGGGACGACGCGCTGCTGCGGGAGATCCGCGCCGCCCAGCGCCGCTTCGGCTTCGGCGACCCGGCGTTCTGAGCCGGCGGGCACATAAAGGCCGCGGGCACAT